AAAGATGAGCAGATTTTCCTCTTCAGAAAAGAAGCCAGTGACTGGCCAAATGAAGGAAGAGAAGTAATACCCAAAGAGTCTAAGAGTAACTTAAGAATTTCTGGCTGAATTCAGTTAGAAAAAAGAGACTCATCATTTGTTAAACTATACAGCAAAGAAGAATAAAATGGCTAAAACACACAGCCTCCCACATTCCTGTTTCATTAAGGGAGAGGGCATGTCAAAGCAAAGCAAGTCTGCTCTAGAATATGAGTACACCAGGGTAAATTGGATTGATCAACGCTGGTCTTGCAAGATGGTATGCAAAGATGCAGCTGAAGTCGTCATCTTTATCCCCAATCTACAGAGAAAGCTGTACAGCTCCAAGAAAGATGACAGCTGGCTATGCAGGACAACCATTTGCTTCAACCAGGAATCATTTTTAGCTTTTCCAAGTAAAAGAAGTAAGCTGCCAAATATCACCCATTGTATGAACTCAATCAAAAAACCCCAGACATGACTAAACACAGGAAGCAGGTAACAAGCTATGCACTGTCAGCCAGTATGTTCTTTCCTGTTAGAAGATAAAGCAGCCCAAAATGTGCTTGTGGAGCGAGCTACCCTCTTCACAAACAAAAAGTACAATGGCGCTCTCGGATGCAAAAAAATAGTTATTCAGTGACAGGGGAAGGTGAGATCAAATAAATAAATAAAAGCAGAAATTTTAAGTGTGTTTGTGCTACAGAGTAACTGCTTCATATGCATAAAACTTAACAGGGTTGTGATGGTTTGTATGAGGAAGTAAAACAGAAGTCAACCGTGAGACTCTGACAGGAATCTTTGAAAAAGGAAGTGATTTTTAGATGATCAGCAAATGTCTGAAGAGCATTTGCAGAAATAAGCTAGCTGTTGCTATATTACTTAAATTACTTCAACAAAAAAAGAGCTTAAAAATTAGTTTCTTAGCCCCAACACTGGGACTATACCACAGTGAAGCTAATACTGAAGTAAAAGAAGGACATTTTATCATTTTGTTTCATATCATCTGTCCTGGTTTAACCCCAGCCGGCAACTAAGCCACACACAGCCGCTTGCTTACTCCGCCCTGGTGGGATGGGAGAGAGAATGGGAAGAGTAAAAGTGAGATAAAGACAGTTTAATAAGTAAAGAAGAAGCCGCGCAAACAAGCAAAGCAAAACAAGGAATTCATTTACTCCTTCCCATCGGCAGGCAGGTGTTCAGCCATCTCCAGGAAAGCAGGGCTCCATCATGCGTAATGGTTACTTGGGAAGACAAATGCCGTCACTGCGATGTTCCCCCCTTCCTCCTTCTTCCCCCAGCTTTATATGCTGAGCATGATGTCATATGGTGTGGAATATCCCTTTGGTCAGTTGGGGTCAGCTGTCCCAGCTGTGTCCCCTCCCAACCCCTTGTGCACCCCCAGCCTGCTCGTTGGTGGGGTGAGAAGCAGAAAAGGCCTTGACTTTGTGTAAGCACTGCTCAGCAGTAACGAAAACATCCCTGTACTATCAACACTGTTTTCGGCACAAATCCAAAACATAGCCCCATACTAGCTACTATGAAGAAAATTAACTCCATTCCAGCCAAAACCAGCACACCATTCCTTGGTAAGACTTCTTTCATCTCCCAACCACCAACAAAACCAGCATGCATGGTGATGTGCAAAGATACGCCATTACTAGTATTTCTATTACTTATAACTTTTACTCTCATCATTTCGAAACTGGAAATAGCATCCCCGCCCTTCCCAACTCAAAGCCTCTTGACTGAAAAGAATAGGAGAAAGCTACTCCATTCCTTCCCAAAATAGCAACAAGGAGAGATTAAATTTAACTGCTGCTTTACTACACAGAAGGTTCTAAAATGCAGCAATATTACTACCGTGTTTCTTTAAAAAATCATTATTGCAATTTTCACCCTACAACTACATAGAGGGCAGTAAGGAAACTGCAGCAATCTGTACCATTATCACATGTAGAATATGTGAGCAGATCAAAGTGGCTCATTTTCATCAGCTTAGTTTTTTGAATGGCTTAATTCTCATCTCCTTTCTTCATTCATCCGCTGACCACAATGCCCTAAGTTGTCTTAAAGATTCCACTGAGGATAAAATTCTCTTCCACCACCAGAGAAATTTCACCATGAAGATTTTTACATTTCTGTATTATAGAAGGGTTTTCAAATACCAACCATTACAGTCATTAGCTCTTCCCCCCCCCCCCCATTCACTTGAAAACTATGGGTGCATTACAAGCGTTTTAATTTGGACCACAAGTGCACTTCTGAAGCAACTCTCCCAAGTATTGCTACTTACTGCTTTTTGGTTCACATTGTTTAGCATCAGAGGTAAAGGAAGCTTCCCTTTTAGAACAGGCTAAATTGGAAGATGCGCTTCAAGAGCATACCTACTGCACTCCCCTACTGCAATCCAACCACACATAGGCATTCAGTCCATGGGACCTCATTAAAGGTAATCCAAAGTAAAATACCCCTGAAGGATGTATAGTGTGCATGTCAGGTCCTCAGTGTCAACTGTTCCACTCCACAGACATCTTTCCAGAGGTCCACACTACTTGATAATGTATTAGTAGATCAAGCTTAAAGTTGGTTTCATAAAACTGGGCAATTAAATTCATATCAGCAATGAAAAGGAATCTTTAATGAGTCATGTGTTAATCTTCAGCTGCACTTTCACCTTGTCATTCTAAAAGGGATATAAGTAGTGGCAATCAGAAGACCATTGTTTGCCAGCTGATGAGACATCTCAGCAAAAATGCCTTTAGATAGAACATTAGTTAAACTTTTAAGTGCAAGTATTTGGCAATCCTGAGATCTAGTGAAAAAGCACAGCTCTAGACTTCCAAAGTCATTAATTCGGTTAAGTTTCATTAAAACTAGCACAAGAAGTAAATCCCCTAATAACTTTGGAAATCACAAACATATTTTTTCATTCTTATCCTGGTCGCCCAAAATCTCTGTGTGCAATTAGATTGACTAAGGATTTATACCATTCTCAAGTCTTCCTTTTTTCTCCTCCATATCCGGATGTATCCTATACTAGAGGGGAAGACCTGATCTGTCCAGTTCTGAGTATTACAATTTCATGTAAAATTACACAGCATGTGTATAAACATAAATGCATATACACACAAAAAAATAAATATATACTCACTTTTGGTAAGAACAATGTCAAAGAACAGCTAAATGAAGAGTATATAAAATCATAAAAATTTAGGCCTGGGTTTCACATGTGTAGTAAGGTTCAGGCATCCGTCATCCATCCTTTATCTGGCCACCCACTGCTGCTGCAGTACTACCACTTGCTGCGTACAGCAACATAGATTGGACAGGCCCACAGTGAATCTTTCCCCCAACCTACGAGGGTGGATCAGTTTTCCTGATCCCATTCACCAAATGGCTGTATAAACCTCTGTTATGACAAAGGCCAGGAGCAGTAAAGTGAGCACAGAATACTCTTAGGGGATAGGCTGGATTGCAGAATTTGATTGTTGTCAAAGGAGTGTATTTTCCAAGTCTTTGTTAGAAAAAAACAATAGGGTATTGCTTTACAGAAGTCAGGACGGACAGTGGACTGTGTATTGGCTTTTAATTTTGTCTGGATTAATTAATTCTAGACAAGAATTAAAATTCCATTATGAGTCACTGGAAGGTACTTTATACGGGATACCATAGCCTACAACAGAAATAAATATTCCTGGAGATTTTATTACCCCTCAGCATATGCTGATTCAAAACTAAATATTTTCTGTCCTTGTCTTGTTTTGTTTCATTCTGAAGTGTTCTGCCAAGTTTTTCTACAATATATTTTATGACTTGTATTTCCATATTCCAACTAAAAAGAGGCAAAGAATTAAAATTTATTTACTTTCAATACATTTTGAAATAAACACCTGCATAATTGCATTTGAAATAACAAGTTACAGCCCACATTTACTATAAACTATTTTGAAAGCTTACATTAAATATAAATATTTCTCAAGTTTGAAAGAAAGTCAAGTAAATGCTTTTGCGGAACCATCTGCCTAAATACCTGAAACAAGAGTTTGCTGATTTGCTAAGCCAGTTTTTAATGCTAGTGATCCTCTGTGGGAACAGAGTGAATGCTTCCTTCATTTTGATGTATTTAAAACTCTCTGTCCATTGTCTAACTACTTGAATTTTAGAAGCCAATTGGGAATCTAAAAGGGAGGAAAGCTATTTATTTTCCTCCAATTTAAATAACCAAAAAGAAGATTAAATTTTCCTAGTCTCAAGTCTAAAGGGTATAGTAACCAGAACTATCCAATTAATTTACTAGCTACACGGCAAAGAAAACCCTTCACTTTTGTTTAGTGATTAGCTTTAAGCATCAAACATGTTTTGACCAACTTCTACTTTAAGAAGCTTATATATTTTAATTGGATTTAAACTTCCATCCATATACAAAAATAATGAATTTCAAAATATTGGAAGTTGTTGGAATTAATACAGTGCTAGGAAGACAGTGATTTAAATTATTAAAAAGGAGATATAAAGCTAAACTTTGTCATAGGTGAGCTGCAACACAGCCATTTACAGATATGCATTGCACCAATTATTAGCTCAATAGAATGTAGCTCAGTGCAACACTGTTCTGCGTACCGCTCCAGCTTTCTAAATACTGCAGCATGAAGGAACAGAGAAGACAATTATGTACTAATGAGTCTAATTTACAATCAGCTCAAAGTGCACAAGTCTAATTAGCATCTTTGCAAAATACGTTAACAAGATGCATGTGTGCTTGTTTTAATAAATCTGATAATATATTATTATTATACGTGATTCATTACCTACTTTTCTATTTAAAATTAAATTATTCATGATGAGTTGTCCTGTCCTCCTGTATTCAGTGAAGTACTGTAATAAACTAGGGATTTTTCCTGTTTTGTTCCTCAAAATGAAATGCATCCCTAAAAGGTGAAAAGTGAATAATATAGCAAAATACCACATGGTCAACTTACCACTGCCACAGCATCACTAGAAAGAACGGCTTCGATATCCAGCACTGTATAGTAAGCTATATTGGTCATAATATAGATAACAGTCACAATTGGCATAGACACTGCAATAGCCAGTGGCAAGTTCCTGTAACACAAAAAAAACCCAAAACCCACAACCCAGGAAAAAAAATCCATTAATAACAGAATAAACTTATTTATTTGCATCCTTTACCTTAGAGATAAAAGGTATGAAGACAGTATAAAGATTTAAAATAGGTATCTCTGAAGAGTTTGGTTTCTTTTAAAACTAGAAATTCTAATACAGAATACTGGAAAAAAATCTAATTTTTTGCAATAACTTAAAACCTAAATTATGTGTAGAAAGGGATTCTATGCAACTGCTTTTCAAGTACCGTAACTTCAGGGTTTCCAGATCAGTAATAATAGCCTTCAAATTTACATGCTTTAAATTATTTCCTACTGGCCCTGTTAATTACCACAACTAGAACCCAAAGGGGCAGAGCTCTGAGTCACCACACTCATTCTCCCTGGGGAATGCCGCTGTTCTTCTAGCACTCACTTCTAGAACTGATGTAGGGAGATCCACTAAACCAAACCAAACCCCTGGTCTTCTCATCTGCACTCATCACTGCAGAGAACAAATTAATTGGGCTGCGTAACTGCAGAAAGTAGAGATGCAGAGGACAGATCCAAAATTGCTGCACAGCTGTGAATCTCTGGATGTGCTGTATCTTACTAGCAAACACATATCTAGAAAGTAATACAAAAAAAGTCTGGAGTAACATGAAAACACTGCAAACCTCTAGATGTAAACAGATAAGATCTAATTTAAAGCTGAGATAAACTCACAGCCCTGAGTCTGCAGCTCCACAGGGAGAAGCTCTGCAGAGCAGAAGCAGAAGCAAACTTTTAATCCTAGGCTTTGGCTTTTCTCAGCCTTATTCTTTCCCCAAAGCTTGCAGGGATATTCAAATGTCTCAAAAGGGAAAGCAAAACTGAGAGTGTTACTCTCGCATTTGCCCAGCTTGAAACCAAACACGCCATGGTGACATGGATGAGCATTTGCCATGAACACGGTTTTCAATAACCCCAACAAAAACCCAACAAAAACCCAACAAAGCAGAAAAATAAAATGCACTTTGGAAGTTTCCTCAAAAATTTCCTGAGGCCCAGAACTCCAGCTGGGTCAGTCTGATGCTGTGGAAGCAGAAAAACAAACACACGCCACATCCCCCCCAATATAAATCAGTAAATTAGTAACTGGGAGTTCTGAGACTGCTTTCAGGTTGCACACTCACAGTAAGAGACCTGTGAACCTCAGCGCAGAGAAGAAACAATTAGAAAACCACTTAGAAATTAATTCAGAAATGTTACTTAATGCAACAAAAAGCTGAAATGGCATTTTAAGGACTTTGCATCACCCAAGATTAAAGCCAAGGGACTGTTTCAAATTTAACTTGTGGATTGCAACTTTTGACTGGACAAGCATGAGGGCACTATGAATCAAGTGAATATGAAAAATACGTAATTCTTGGAGTAATTTTATAGAAGTCTGGACCATCTCATTATTCCCAAGAATTGTCAATGTAGAAAGATGAAATTTGAAGTTCACTTTATCAGCTACAATTGTTACCAAGAACGAAGCTTGTATTAGGCATTGATGCTTACAAATAGCAAAAGAATCTAAAGAAATTTTCATCAGATGAATATCCCGTGAGAAAAATTACTTTTCAAAACAATAGATAACAAGAGTTATCCAGCTGATAACACAGAACAATACACTAACTTTAAAAAGATGAAAAGGCATTGCAACAGCACTCAAAAGGGGAGCTTTTTCAGTGGAAAAAATACAATTTGAAGGACCAAATGACTGATGCAAATACAAAATGTACGTCTCTTCTGAATACGTATAACAAATCTTTGCAAGACAATTTAAGGAAACATTGTCAACCTGAAATTCTAACTAAAAATAGCTATTTTTAGAGTTAAAATATTTATCTGCTATTTTATCTTTTCAATAGATAACTTTTCTGGTTAAATGAATGCACAGCATAGAACTCAGGGGTAACAGAACAAATGGCAAAAGTCAACATCAGTTGGGAGAATTGGGGGGGGGGGGAAGTCTATCTTCCATTCTTTATCTTTTGGTTGTAGCAATCTGAGCTGCTGCTTATAATAGGAAGTGAAAATTATCAAATGGGATTCTATTTTTAACACAAAGGCATCTGCTTACAGACTCACAACTGAACAAGATTAGTCACACTTTTAGAGCATAAATTCGTGGAAAAGATAACATTCTTAAATATGAAATCAGAATTATTGCACAGATAAACACAGCACAGACTACAGTTATGTAACTGTTTCACTGCAATATTAACACCTATTGTAATAAATAGTAGCAACATCTTGAACCGAAAGCTTATCAAGCACTGAATACAGCATCCTGCAGTCGTCTGAACTTATTTATTCTTACCTTTTTTTTTTTCGTTTTTAATGGAGTTTAAAACTAATAAGTCTCTGCTAATGGCTGTTCACAGCCTTACCATCTAAGTATAGAACAGTTCTACTCATTTCCGTATAAGCTCAGAACTCATTAGTGAAAGACAGCCACAAAACGAGCAACTTGGGAACTATCCAGGTTTAGAAAGCTCAAATCATTTACCTTTCTGGGTTTTTGATCTCTTCCGTTACAAAATTGAGTGTATCCCAACCAGAGTAAGAGAACAAGGCAGAATAAAGCGCGAGGGAAATGTCTCCGATATCAAAAGAGGATCCCTCAAAAGAGTTCTCAAAGTGCGATGAATGTCCTGTGTGCGGAAGAAATGCAATGAAGTACAGGATAATAAAATACAGCAAGTAATTTTTTTCAATTTGGCACACAAATACAAGAAAACTCAGAAACCCTAATTCCTTCAAAGCTGCTTATTAATCCCTTTTTCCAATTCTACTCTGTGCTTCAGCCATGAGAATAAGCATGGCATTTAAACTACTAAAAATTATGCCCTGTGGATGATACTGTTCTATACTTAAACACCTAATTTGTCCACAATGGCACAAAAAGTTCAGGAACATTAAGTTCAGCCTAAGCTACAAACAACTGGCAATGACAATACTCAGGCTGAGGCTATTTTTTATAACATATATATTTATAAAATAATCCACTCTGTCCTTCTATATGCTTTTAAATTTTCAATCATTTATTCTATGCAGAAAATAAAGATTACAGTTGATTTTAAATAACTGTGACCAAAAAAACCCCCAAACTAAATGGATGTTTAAGTTTTAGCTATTAAAAATAGAAAACTGAGGATAATTATCAGAACATAAAATATTATTGTTACCTGAGATAAAATTTTCCCAAGCTAAGAGAAAAAGTGTATGTTTTTTTGCACCAGTATTTGTGAGAACTTGTGCCATCTTTTGATTTTAAGCAAGTCAAGACAAGCTCATCAATGGCAGTTTTATATATTTAGACTATTTTACATATGCAGACACACACACAAAAACACCAAATACAGACAGGTGAGTAACTATGTATCTCCAAAACGTGCCCTGTACTATGCATCCTGAAATGTTTAGACTTCATCAAAACTGGCCAGGCAAATATTTGAGGCCTCTAAAATACCTTCACTTCTTTCTCTTTTTTATCCTAACTAGACATTGCTATTCCCTTGGCACAGACACAAGCAGAGTAACTGCTTAGTTAGAAACACAGAAGGGAGACAATGTCAAGGAAGTTAGTAGTGAACAAGCTCAGTATCTACAAAACAAGGGATGGGCAGATGTGCTAAGGATTAAACACTCCAGCATGGTGCTCACATATGCATATTCTTGTTCCATTCACAATAATTACCTTGCTCATGGACTTTCAACAATAACCGGTCAGAGCAAAGGACACAAATTGCCAGACTGCCAGGGAAAGACCTTTATGGCAGCTTTGAAAGCAGGGTAATTTTTTTAAGCTAACACACCAATAAATTCTCCCCAAAGGAAGAGATAAGAACAAAACTAAGTTCAGAATTCCTCTAACTTGAAGGCACAGTGCCCAACACACACACACAAATTTAAAAAAAATAAATCCAAAACCCCAGCAACTTTCTAATTCTCAAAAGCTATAACAGAACTCAGGATTTGAGCAAAAAAAAGAGCTGCTGTTTCACAAATCTACTTACATGTTCTTAAGAATCTATTTTTACTTCAAGTTCAGTCACTTTCAGACTTGCACAAAATTCATTTTGTAAAAAAAATATTCAGTTGATCTCATTGTAAAGTAGTATGTTCCTTACAGAAATTTACAGCTTTCTCCGCTCCCATCGTATTTTGCTAGCTCTGTATTTTGCTGTTTTCGTTTCCTTTATTATTTCATACTGCAGGCTGTAAGTTGAACAACATTGCTGAGCAATCAGTTACCTTCTCGTACCTAGTTCAAAGTCAGCTGAGATAGGATAGCTTCTCATAATACAGTATCATGATAATGCCTAACTTTGGTATTATTGGTGTTTTCAAAGTGGCTATATTATGCTTGTACTGAGGCATTTGATAACACATACAGAGGTATTTTACAGTCTTTAGACCAGTTACTCAGTTTAACTGATAAATACAAACCTTTGCTTTAATTTTATAAGCTTACCCTGGCATATTTTAACAAGTCCGGTTATGATGATGACAATAAGAGCAGTGACTTTAGCATAAGTAAATATATCCTGCACCCGTGTTCCCCATTTAACGTAGGCACAATTTATAAATGTTAGAAGACCTGGCGGGGTGGGGAGGTGGGGAGAAAAAAAATAACAATTAAAAGATTATTTGAACAATATTCAGTTTAATTCATTTTTCAAAGATTTTAAATTATAATCTAAATATGCACTTACCTGTTATATTAATACTTAGGTTAAACTAAGCAAAATACACTGGTACTGAAAATACACTGGTTTAAACAAAACAGTAGGAAACAGATGTTCTAAACACACTGTTTCAAAAGATGGAAGGAAGGACCTTCCCCTTCTCTGATTACATGCCCATTTTCCTAACGTTACCCCTCATCAGCTGCACTCTGCAACTATCCTGAAGCTAAAGAAACCATTGCATAATTCATTTCAATGTATCAATATTGTTCTGATAAATGAAATATTATCTAGAAATTCCTTTAGGCAAACATATTAAAATAGTGTGTGAAAAGTTTTTTCCCCTTCCTTGTTAGTATGAGGATGAGTTCAACATCCACAGAGTATTTGTAATACTGAATATGGTCACAGGCGATTCAATACTCTTTTCCAGTTGTATTAAACTGTATTACTAAGCGAGGTTAGAACAGATCTGGCCAAGTAACATAGGCTTTACAGCTAAGGCAACATTAATCTGGATTTTAAAGAACTGGTAGTAAGTAATGAGTATTCTGTATATATTCCTCCCTCTCTCCCAAAACACATCAGCGTCAGACCTATTTCACAAGATTGTAATGGAACTTGAAGCGAGACCTTCAGATTTCACAAATATTTTAGTAATAGTGGCTGACTAAACTTACTCATATGATCAACTTCCTCAACAAACACATTTCAACCTATTGTTGAAATACATTGTTCTCATGGCTCTCAACATTTTGCTTTTGCACTTATTACTTTTTCCTCAAATGGAGAGCCAGACAACTTCTGCCTGAACTCAAATGCTGAATATTGAATAGGATTCAGTATCTTCAGTATTCTTTATTGAACAAAATACTAATTCAGTGCATAGTTTTCTTATCCAGATTATCATTACATTATTGATTCCAACCGAGAAGTTTTCCCCAAATCTCTTTTTTCCCCCAACTAGTAAAAAAGTCGTTATATTCTACTATACTTTTTATCGCCAAACAATTTTCTTGTACTATGTATTTTAAATATGCATAAAAATAAAACCTAAACCTGGTAGCAAATCAAAATTAAATAGTAGTAGCAAAGTAGTAGCAAATCAAAATTAAATGAGAAAATGTGATAAATTATTTCCTTTCCCATAATCCAAGAATAACGTGATACTATTACGATAAAAATGTACTTAGCACAGTTACCAAATAGAAAAGTTTCAATTTTAAAAAGATAACAAAAGAAAGGTAATGATCTCAGAAGTGTGGCACTAGTATACTGGACAGCCTGGCCAAGTGGAATAGCTGAACGAGATTCCACTGAGCTTGGCAAGATGAGGGGAAAAAAACAGTTGTATCAAATTTCAAAAGTCCAGATTGCTGCAGCTCCCAAAGAGCCCTCAGGAAAAAAACAACTCTGCTTGGTCTCTGCTCTGCAGTATTAATGATCGGTATTATCTATGGAGTATTTGCTCACAGGGTTTATTTTGGACATTTTTTTTTTTAAGCAACTTTCATTGGGAATAATTATTATTAACTCCTTATTTTAGTGAGTTAGGACTTGTTCTCTGCTTTAGATGAAATGCTACTCTGTTTCTGATATCTTAAAAGAAAAAAAAAAAGATAATCAAGAATCTGAATAAGCCACATCCCCTCCCTCTTTCTTTTACTAAAATTATTCTCTCATGTTTTCTTCAATTTAATTATCGTTTAGCTGCTTAAAGTTCCTGAGAACTGTCAAGTTTAGTTCTGTAGCACCAGATGCCACACCCATTGGCAAAATGATTGATAAAGTAATGCTGTATAACACTGACTGATCTCACACTAGATCTAGTATTGTTCTTACTACAGCTTAAAAAAAAAAACAAACCAAAAAGAAACCCCACAACAAACCCACCCATTCTCACATACAATCTGTACCTAACCAATGTTCAGACTTCCATTCCCGGCAACTTCATTAATAAAGTATTGTAATAATAAAGAGAGTCTAACAGCAGGGCAGAACAAGCATTTAAACAATAAAATGAACATTTAAAGTAAGTTGTTCCACCTACATAAGAGTGATCTTGCTGTCACATGTCTCCACTAAAGAAAAACGTGCTAAATTCCCTCTCTTAGCAGCAAGTGTAGAGGACATCACATTGTCTTTCTACATCTACTATATAATCATTTTAATGGAATCACTTTGTCTTAATTTCTTGCTTTTTCATAAACTGCTTTTTATGAGGGCTAACTCCCCTCAGATGTGAGATACCTTAAATGGAAGAGCAGATTCCCCCACACTCCTGAATCTGTGCCAGGATACCTTGGGACAGTATCTGTTTAAGGAATGTGGACGTGACACTACAGGTCCTTCATTTCTTTCCTGAAGTTGTCACAACAAAATGTGGACACACATTTGGAAGGGAGGAGGGAGATGGAGGGAACAGAACTGAGTAAGCTGACGGATTTTTTGGAGGAAGTTTGTGATTATTCTTCCCACTACCTGGACCTGGACCAGCACATTAGTGCTTTCCCAACAGTAACAAATTAACTTAGAAAAACGGAAGGGGAAGCTATAATGTTCACAACTAGTTACAGAGGTGAAATATTTGAAGCACACACTACTGCGCACTCTGTCTTTCCCCTCTTCTAGTCCTACATAGACAACTGTAATAAGGAACATTAGAGCGATTTCAACAGACTCCCTGTTGCCTCAAAAAGGAAACAGCTAGGAGCAGCACATCTCCTCCCTGTAGCATACTGTTGGCAGTAAAAAAACCCAAGTTCTGTATTAGCTTTATGATAAAAGCATCAGGTCAGTAGGAATGGCAGACTCCACAGCACACAGCGATGATGATCAGTATATGACAAAGGATTGCCATAGAGACTTTCTGAAATATATTTTTCACTGTTTACTGGAAATGTAAAATACGTATATAAACACTTTTAATAGGAAATACCTAAAATTAAGACACACACACAGTACAATCATACAGTTTCATGCTCTTGATACAGCAGAACAGTCCTGATTTGAAGCATGTGGACAGCTGTTCATATTGACTAACAGAGCTAGCTATCTGATTACAAACATCTCAATGTTTTATGCGCACACAAAATTTCTGCTTTTCAAAAAAGCTTTACAACAGGTACAACTTTTTTATGTTACTGTTAATCACGAGCATGAAGAATAATCTTGAATGAATGGTCTTTTGAAACGCTACCAGAGTAATTACTTAAGCATGTCTACATTGAGAAGCTATTGTAAAATAAATTACAGCAGAATTCATAGCATAAGAGGTATTCTGCAACAACTTTTAGACCACACCAAGAATATCTTGAGGTTTGATTTAATATACCTCCCTGAGGGAAAACAAACTTTTTCCCCCACTTTCCCATGTAAGTAAACTTGGAAGAGTTAAATACCTTGTTCTGCTTCTGAATGAGAAAATTCACTGACTGAATACCTACAAGTTATTCACGTGCTGGAAATTGTTCTTTTCCCCCGCTGTAACTTAAACTGTTGTAGATTCAGTATGCAACAACTCTGGGACTTGGTAGGATTTGTTTTAATAAAAGCTTAACCCTGGATAAAAAATTACCGTAGTAAATTTCAAGAAATACTTACATTCACAAGCAGCTGCTATGAGACGGCAAGCCAAATACGGAGGATCACAAGAAGGGAAGAAAGGTTGAACTATGTAGTTAGCAAAGGTGATGGCAATAATTGCTTGACTAGTTGGCTCAACAATTAGGAGTGAGGTCCACAAACGAATAAAAGCGATGAAGCTCCCAAAAGACTCCAAGATATATGCGTAGCTGGCTCCTGACTTTGTAATAGTGGTTCCAAGTTCAGCATAGCAGAGAGCTCCAAAGACTGAAAAAATCCCTCCGATTGCCCAAATTATTAGAGACAATCCGTAAGATTTGCTGTAGATGAGAACTCCTTTGGGAGAGACAAAGATACCTGAACCAATCATGTTGCCTACTATAAGGCTTATCCCATTTATCAAAGATATTTCTTTCTTCAGTTGCATTGTATTTTGGTTTCCATCCTGCATTTCACAGCTGTCACTTGGATCTGTCCTGTCTGATTTATTGACGGGGCTGTATTCAGCCAGTGAACTATGCGACTTCATACAATCTGTCCTTTCTCCCATTGTGGAAAGACTGTGAATTCTCCACAACTCCAGATCACAATCTAAAACAAAATATAGACAGCTGAAATCACTATAAAATATTTTATCCCAGGACTTTCTTGCCAAATCTTCTTTCTACCTTTTCACCCTATGATTTACAAATGTAAATTGAGAAAGTCCCTTCTGTTACTTAGTATGTGTTCTTACACAAAGGTAAATCCATGCATAGTTAAAATAAACAGAAAAATCAACACACACAGGGCAAGAGACAAATTCCAATATAACTTAAGCTGAGAAAGGAGCTTCTACCTTTGGGGGGGGGGGGGAACCAACAACAAACAACCCAACCAAAAATGAATTGAGGGATTCCAATGTTGAAAAGGAAGAAAGAACAGATAAAAGCAAAGTGAGGTGATACAGAAAAGCAAGCACTGTAAGACCAAGCTGGAAGTTCTAATCATGAACATAGATTTATTGCAGTACTAAAAAAATTAATCAAATTATTGTACTTACACATGTAAGTTATGAGTGATCTAGTAAGAGGGTTGCACATTTTATTAACGCAGTGTGCGCTCTTGCCAAGGGCAATATGAAGAGATACTTACTCCAGAATCCCCTTGATCCAACTCTTGACTTTTAACTGATACTAGTTCACTCCCTCCCCCCTCCACGAAACTGTTCCCAGTTCCCACTGCCTCATTTCTTGGAGTTATCTAGGAGTGCAGGCTGTACATGAAAAAGCCCACAGTAGTTTCAATCCAAATTCCTCCATTACATTATTTTACTGTATTTAACAGTACCTAAGAACACAGAGGTGAAATAAACATTTTCCTCTGCTTCAGAATTGACCATTTGGAAATGAACCACCTTCTTCTCAAGTATCCAGGAAATTCTCCCATGCTTTCCAAAAGCAAGTTACTGCTAGTAACATTTATTAGCACAAAAATATACCGGAAATTAGCAGTACTTCTGAATAAGGCCCATTTTATAGAATTTCAAGTAAGAAATAATCTATTCAAGGAACAGTCTTGTATGGAAACCAGCTTAAATTGCAAATGTACCTTTGATTACTAGGTTATCAGCTCCATAAAGAATAGGCCTTACATAATTACCAGAATGCACTACCATTCATTTGCCCTGCTCCTCATTAAACTTTCCTCAGTGTATACTTCAGCCATTTACTACAGAACAGAAAAATAAAAAAGTCTGGGTCAATTAGAATAAAGCAGCTGATCTAGCAGGGAGAAAAAAAAAGGTTTTGCGCTTTTTTGGGGTAACACTAATTTTACAAATGGTTTTGTTATTCCAACAATAAACTTGCCAACTAAGAGAACAAAAACCCTGAGTACGGGGATTTTAAAAGATCAGTATGCAATCACCCAAACTGCATATATATCTATGCATCTAGTAACATACAAACATATAAGGTTTTGCTCATGCAGTTAGGGGCACACCTTCCTGGAGGGAAACTTAATAATCATACTCTTCCGTTATTATAAAGCCAACGCCTGTATACTACAATACAGAAAATCTGACTTGGCATCCCTGAACTAGAATAGTTCTAAAGATGTGAAAATGATAAAGACTATTTTCAATCAATAAAAAAGTAACTTCTACTGAAATGGAGTACAAATCATTTACTGAAACATGTTACATCATTCACCTCCAATTCATGAATCTTCTAACTTTTTCCACGTTAAAATAGAGACTGTGTTCTTTTAAATAATGCAAAATGAGATCCTCAATCTGTTTAGTTGGATGCCTTCTGATTTATTTTCCCCTTAATATTTCAAAGAAACACAGAGATGGTTAATTACTAAATACATATTTTATCATTTATACATGAGTCAACTTTTTATCTAGTGCCATACATACATCACAAGCCATCAAATTTCACACTTTTAATAAGACTAAAAATTTTCAACTTTCCAGAAACTGCAATAGCAGTCTGCTATTTCAAGACTTAAAAGCTTGAGTGTTATAATGAGGCATCTCCAACAAAATTAAACTAATTAAAAGAGAGGGATCCACACAGTTTCTACAGACGACTGTGCCCAAAACTGCAAAGGAAAACAAAAGCAAATTCAGCTCACCAGTTGTTACTGGTTCTCCTTGTTATTTACTCTTCCATCTATCTTGTGTCAAATTCATTTGCAACCACATACTGGCTGATTTTCTGTTATTGGTGTACTAGAGCTAAGTCTTCAGAAAGACATACGGCCTATGAGCTTGTAAGATTATTTGGTTTGCTTTACAAGACAAAGTTCAGTTATTACTGTATAAATTAATATAAATTATTATAATAATCAATTGCAAATATGATGCAATCATCAGAAAGCATAAATGTGTAAAACAGCAGGACAAATAATCAAAGCAGATGTCTTAATGACTAATTTAACCGTAAGAAGTGGATTTAAAGAACACTTGTGACCCGTAGAAATAACATTCAACTCCAAATTGAGTCTTTTCATTTCTATTTTGACTCGGACAGGACACTAGTTGCAAATATATTTCAGAAGGCAAATCACTCTAGATGAATGTCAGTGGAAAAAATAAGAATAATACAGCTACTATTATGACATCCCACTGCCAGTTTGAAAATACGCCATGTTCATTCTCAACCCTTCCCCTATCCCAAAGGATAAAACTGAGTAATATGTTAAGAATTGACTCATGGATATAGAACATCATTCTGGTAATAACTACACAGCTTTATGATTTCTTACTTCACATATCCTAATTATCATTCCCATTTCTTCCTGGAACACCTTTGAAAGTATGACTCGTTCAGAAGCACAAACATGACTTTGAATACTCAGGCATTTTGATGATTTGATTTGATTCAAATTAATTAAATCATTCAAATCAAATCTGATTTGTTCGCACACTGGCGGTTTTGGACTAAGAGTCACCACAATTTACCTCACGGTCCAAAGTTCAGAGGTACATTTAATTACCTGTAACTACAGACCCTGTCACTGTTCAAATGCCTCCACCTCAATTAGCAGCACGTGACTGCAGTTCTATACAATTTTGTTACTGATGACCTTGACTGTTTCTTGCCCTATTCTACCCTACCCAGGAAAGAACCACCATAATATCCTCTCAATCTAGCTTATTTTTTCTCTCAATACTCTTTCTTCCTCTTCAAGTCTGCTTTTGTTATTCTCAATTTCAGGCATCTGCTGACAACTAGGATTTGCATGAAGGTGTGTGCAACAGCTCACTCAAGATTTGGCATTTCATTCTCTTCTCTAACCTTGTTTGTTTTATATCCTTAAAGCCTTCAGGGCAGGAATTGCTTATTTGCCTGAGTCGCGTGTCTTATTACACCACCTCTATGACAGAAACAAAACTATTGGCAGGTTTTTTCCTACAAGCACTTCACTTAATCTTAACTGGAACTAAACTCAGCAGCTTTGATTGACTGAAAAAAAACCCCCACCAAACCTACAAAGGAAGAGGGAGAGTGGAAACTAGAGAAAACTGAAGCTATGTCAAGATTAGCAATATTGAGGAAAAAACCACATATATTAAAATCCATTATACTGCCACAAGACCATTATTTCTGTGGAAGCAGCAGACAGGCTTGGAAGAGAAGAACCAGAGGGGAATAGTAAATGTTTTCTAAAATACAATAATCCTATAATACTCCAGTTCAAAACACTGTTAACTGATTTCTAATGCTGCCAGCCTTGCCACAGGACTGCTATGGCTAATGCAGGCTTATGCCTTCACACAAGCTAACGTGGATTTCCTCATCACTCACCCTTGCGCAATACAAAGTCTTAAACTCTTGTTTTTGCTGATCTTTGCAGCTGTGAGGAATCTTTTTGCTGATACGCATAAGATTCTTTACTGAAATGACACTGCCGTTGATACAGAAAGCTTTGACACAAAACCAGGACACAGTGACCTGAAACGAGGATCACTTCATTGTCTCACCAAAAATATATATTCTGATAAGGCCTATCACATGTTGGCCATGTACCAAAGGAACTAATGAAGGTTAATGTGCAGTTAGCAAAGTACTAACACCGCATTACAGGGTGGCCCTCCTTTGAGAGCAGGGAAGGAGGAACCATCTGCCAAGATCCCCTCTCTCCCACTGAGCAGGACAGCATATGACCTGTCATTTGTTCAACTTGGGGCGAACCTGCGAGCGGGTTAATGATGGATATGAAATACCAAACTGCTAAAAGCTTACTATGTTTTGCTATACTCTTATACAATACTTGCTCATTAGCAAAGATTTCTAGTGTTCTTGCCTCTGTCTTCCGCAGTTGTCTTGATTGCATAAAAATACTCTTGTTGTAACACAGCTTTACATATATACTTTGACTATTCACATATAGCAGCTGTAAAACTCCTATTTCTGAACACAATGATTGGCCCTTTGGGTAAGAGTCAAGATTGCCCTACACAGGCAAACAGCATGAAAGTCTTCAGGGAGTTAAGCACCAACAGAGCAAAGGTTTTAAGTCCCAGAAATGCCTATTCCTTGCAATGTATATATTTAGGCACCTCACAGTCTGAACATTTAAGTGGGAAAGGCTTAGAGTTGTCTAGTATGTGTTTTTCTTGTTTCTGGTGAGAGAAGAATCATTTCCCTGCCATACATACAGTTAGCAGACAGGAAGCCCTTGCAACAAAAGCAATTCCCAATGTAAAGATCTAATCTGTTCAACCAAGTCTTTTGTACTCACATATGCAAACACACCATCTTTAGCACTATAAAAAACAAAATAAACCTTTGATCAAATAGAATTGGTTGTAACATCCTTTTTTTTTTTTAAAGCACAAGGTGCACTTATCATATAAAAAGGTAAGGAAGAGAAGTTACTATGTCAATTATTCACTTGATAGTGTGTCAGTGATGTCAGTAAGTTCTGACTACACACACCTGACACAGCTGCACAAGAGATGCTCAGCAAATACACATACTAGCCACATGTTCAGACAAATCCTGAATAAGGCTATGAACATCAAATGAGGTAAAGATCTATAATCAGCTCACAAACAGATATTCAGTTACAGTGTCTCAGAAACTTTTCAAAATTTCCTAAAGTACCAACCCTAGACAAATCCACCTCAGTAATATTAACCTAGATTTTAAACCGAGTCACTTTAAAGTTAGGGAACTGTGCTAGCTACAAGTGGAAAATAACATGCCACTACATCCTTCACACTTCTAATTTATTTTTATATTTCCAAGGGAAAAAATAGAAGCAAGCTCACAACATGGGACTTTGTGGCAGACAGTCTTCATTTAGACAGAAGTGAGGCTGGGAGTGCACGAAGCAGCTGCAATGAGAGGAACATCTGATGAAATTTACACAATAAGCCCCAGGTAAAGGCAGAAGGCACAGCAATAGAGTTTGCTAAAATAATTTATCTTATTTTTATGCTTGGGCACAAAAGTGGAAACCTCTCAAAAAGGGGAAAAGTAATGTCAAAAGGCACACGCTTACCTACAAATCTATATCCATGTGTACTCTTTAGCCATAACTTACAGCCACACCTAATCGGACTGCATTTAATACATGTCACTTAAAAAAACACATAAACAATCAAAATCACTACCAAATGCCAGTAAGCAAAGACATGCTAACCTGAGGGTATTACCAAACCCACTTCAGTTCCCTGCGATAGCTAGTTAACAGAGCAGTTATAATTACATGCACCCACCACAAACAACATCCTGTTATAACCCGCCTGCTGCCAAACTAAATAAAACACGTGGCTCCAGAAAACCACCCTCAAGTCGGGATGTGCACGACACGACGGGCTGTCGCCGGCGGGAACGGCGTGAGGAGACCGGCCCTCTGGGCTCCGCCGTCGCGCGGCTGGAGGGAGGATTTGGGGTCATTTCGCCCCTCTGTGGCCGCTCCTCCCTCCCCAAGCGGTGTTTACCCTGTTCTCCTTACAAAATATGCGAGGTTCAGACATATTTCACGCCGCCTGGACAGCGCCAGGAGGGAAGCGGCTGCCCCGCGCCTCAAGGCTGAGGCAGCTGCAGGTGCTGCCGCTGAGGCACCCTTTAAAGAAAAATAAATACACGGCATTTGTCGCAGTGCCACCCTGTACACCTGCAGCCGACCCGGGACGCCGAGGCCGCCAGCACCGGATGCTACAGGGGAGGCGACGGCGCGGAGAGGCGCCGGAAACCTCCGCGCACGGCGCAAGCTTCGCCG